CAGCTTGGGCGGAATTTGTTACAGAGCATTTCTTACTTGTGTCTTCCCTGTGTACCCAACAGATGGGCAGCTCTCAGGGGCAGCACATTTTGTCTGTCTTGTTCATCGCTGCGTCTCCAGTACTCAATCCAACTAACAAGGGATGTAGCAATGACACACGGCACGCAGCGTGCTACTTTCTTCCTTTTGTAAAGCTTCCTTACTTCTCAGCAAAAAAAACAAACAACACACCCAATTTTGAAAAATTGAGTAAAAGGTAGGAACAGAAAATCACAGAAATAGTATATAAAAAATTTAAGAAGTCGCTAGCTGCATGGCTCTAGGTAAGTGATTTAATCTCTTTAGTCCTGAGTTTTCCTGGCTGGAAAATCCAGGAGCTGCTTATTAAGTGTTTGTTGAGTGAATGAGCAACTGAATCAATAAAATAATATCTAATTCATGGAGTGTTAAACGAATTAAATGACTTAGTGCAGATATAGGGCTTGGAATATTGCCTGGCATCTAGCATGCCCTTTGTAAGTGATAGCAATGCCTGCTTTTAAACATAGTCCTACTGCCCTGGCTGGGTTGCTCAGGGGGTTGGAGTGTTGTTCCATACACCAAAAGGTTGCTGGGTTCAATTCCTGGTCAGGGGCATATACCTAAGGAGTGGGTTCGATCCTCGGTCGGGGAGCAACCACGAGGCAACTGATTGATGTTTCTCTTTCACATCAATGTTACTCTCTCTAAAATCATGATTGTTGTATGCATCCTTCAAGATCCCTTCTAGTTACCTCCTCCAGGAAGCCTTCCCTGGTGAGGCCAGACAGAATTAGTTGCTCAGGGGCCCCAAAGCACTTTATGCAGTCCTCTGTTTAAACTTTGGCACAACATACCCTGGCTGGTGTGGCTCAGTGGATTGAGCACCAGCCTGCAAACCAAAAGGTCACCAGTTCGATTCCCATTCAGGGCACGTGCCTGGGTTGTGGGCCAGGTCTCCAGCTGGGGACGTGCGAGAGACAACAGATCAATGTATATCCGGGCAACAGATCCATGTATGTCTTGCACATTGATGTTTCTTTCCCTCTCTTTCTCCCTCCCCCCCTCTCTAAAAATAAATAAGTAAAATCTTTAAAAAAATAAACAGCAAAACGTGTCCCAATTAGCATACTCTATATTCCAAGCCCCACACCAAGGATCAGAACACATCTTCATGATAATTATGGAGCTTCTCTCCCTGGCTGTAAACAGGCTGGCCTAGGCTCGCGCACCCGCTGGACCGAGCTCCTAAACGCAGAGCCTGTTTCACTCAGGTATGTCCAGCACATTGCCTGGAGCCCGGGACAAGGAAGCGTCTCAGTCAATATTGGTGGGTCAAATAAATGAACCTTTCTGTCATCTGTTTCTCATTCGGGATGTGCATAACCCAGGGATGTGCAATGGAGCCCCAGGGATTCATAAACCTGCGGAGAGTTTTTAACACATTCGTCACCCACCTTAGCTACAAAGTTTTTTTCTTATGATGAGAACTTTGAAGATTTACTCTCTTAGCAACCTTCCTATAGGCAATGCAGTATTATTAACTGTAGTCACTATGCTGTACATTATATCCCGGGACTTATTTATCTTATAACTGGAAGTTTGTATGTTTTAACTGCTTTTGTCCATCTTGCCCACTCCCACTCTGCTTCTGGCAACTGCCAATCTGTTCTCTGTATCTATGAGTTTGGGTTTTTTTTTAAAAAAAAGATTACACATACAATTGAGACTGTATGGTAACTGTCTTTGTCTGGCTTGCTTTGCTTAGTATAATAATATAATGCCCTCAAGATCTGTTCGTGTTGTTTCAAATGGCAGGGTTTCTTTCTTTTTTATTGCTGAATAATATTCCTTTGTATACACACACTGCATCTTTATCCATTCATTCATCAATGGACACTTAGATGGTTTCCATGTCTTAGCTATTATAAGTAATGATATACATCTATAATCTTCTCAAATCGGTGTTTCACTTCTTTCAGTTCCACCCAAAAGTGGAATTCTGGAATCATATGGGAGTTATATTTTTAATTTTTTGAAGAACCTCCATCCTGTTTTCCACAGTGGCTGTACCAATTTATATTCCCTATGGCAAATATACATATTCATATTTAATTCTCACCCAAGGATGTGTTCATTGATTTTACAGAGAGAGGAGAGGGAAGGGAGAGGAGGGAGAGGAGGAGAGAGGAGGAGAGAGGAACATCAGTGTGAGATGTGAGAGATAAACATTGATCGGTTGCCTCCCACACACACCCTGATAGGGAATCGAACCCATAACCTAGGCATGTGCCCTGACCAGGGATCAAACCCATAAACTTTTGGTGTACAGGACAATGTTCTAAGCAACTGAGTCACCTGGCCAGGGCCCCCATAGCAAATATTTTTAATTACCAACTTTACTCATCTTTTGAGGGAAATTATCTTTGCATTAAAATGGAGCCTGTTATGTAATGGAGCTGAATGTGAATTTTCAATGCCATAATAAGACTGCAGAGAAATCACCAGCAAAGAGCTGGTTCCTAAAACCCCTAGATGAGAGGACACAATTTTCTACCTTCTCTCTGTCATTTTATAAAGAACAGTTGGTGCTCAATAGAGAGGGAGGGCCACAGTGAGTGACGCGGTTCAGGAACTCACAGAGCGGGACCCTCAGCGGTCACAGGCGGAACGGGTTGATGGGGACACCAGGAAAGTTACTATCCAGGGAGCAGAGGGCTGCTGGAGCAACACTCTATGAAGGTCAATGCCTCTGGGACTAGTTCTGGGTTTTAAGTCTCTGGTCAGTTGGGTGGGTAGTTGGGAAACTGGAACCTACAAGAACAACCTGGAACTTGTGAGAACAAACCGGGAGTCCCGTGTGTCCCTTGCCACCTCCAACCTCTCAATGCCATGTGTGACTCACAAGAGAAGCTGGTGTCGCCCTCATGGAGCTTCCCAGGATCCTGGCCCCAAATTCATGGAAGCCGGAAGAGGAGAGCCAGCAGGTGCAGGTGCGACTGAGGCCCAGTGCTGCCCCAAACCAATAAGGGGGCCAGCAGGTTAGTGACAACACTCTGGAGCCACTGCCGCGCCTGGGTCCTGCGCAGACCTTCCCGCTGTAATGGCGGCCGCTTCACTCCTGCCTTCTAAATCTCATGCAAATTTCTCCTGTAGACCACTTTGACCCAGAGCCCCTGAAGAAAGGTATTGTAGAATACATACGCTGACTTAGCTATGCTGGACAAGACAAAATCACTGCACCGCCCAGAGAAGGAAATTAGCCTGCCCAAGGTCACACAGCAACAGAGTGACAGAACAGGAACTAAGCTAGGTGACACCCTAAGGCACTGTCTCAGGGAATGGCGTGGTATTGCATCGGTTTAAATGTTTGCGCCCATGAGTCAGGATGCTGAGGAAGGAAGTCTGGCTTTGTCATCGACTTCTGTAATCTGTGCACTCTTTATTATATATGTTGCATTTCACTTAAAAAGTTTTAAAAAAAGTCTCAGAGGGAGTAAGTGCCAGGCATAGTTTGACGTAGAGGCACACGACGGCATCGGGATAATGGCACGGTTTCGCCATGGCTCCCTGAGCTCAGCCTCCCTCGGGATGCAGTTCATCCTCAGAATGGATGCTGTCGCGGTTCCAAGCTGGGTGTCTTCCTCATAACTGGTCGCAAAAGTCCTGAGCTTCACTCTTTTTTTCCCTTTCCCTGAGCTTTATTCTAATTGGACTAACAGTTCACATGTCCAGCTCTGAACCAATCGCTTGACTACGGAGATAGAAGGCACTGATTGGCTTAGGCCCTGGTTACCTGGGTGACTATTTCCGAGCCAATCGCTGTGGCAAAGGGGAGGAGTTATGTTGATTAATTTAAGGTATTCGTCCCCGCCCCCGAGCTAGGAGTTTGGAAGCTGTCAATCCAACACAAACTTTATGGCTTTTATTACCAGGGTAGAGAGGGGAGGAGTGGACATTGTGAAGGCGATCACATATACAGGACTATTTTTTAAAAATCCTTATCCCAGGACATGCTTATTGATTTTAGAGGAGAAAGAAAGAAGAGAGGGAAGGAGAGAAACATCGATGTGAGAGAGAAACATCAGTCAGTTGCTTCTCTCATGTGCCCCAGCCGGGGACCAAACCCACAATCTACACGTGCACCCTGACCAGGAATTGAGCTCTCGAACCTTTGGTTTGCAGCTCGACGCTCCAACCAACTGAGCTACACAGGCCAAGACACGACATTTCTTTTTTTATTAAAACATTTTAAAAATAATCATAAACTTATTTAAAAAGTTGCAAATACGGTACAAAGAACTTTTTTGCCTCTGAATCCATTTTAAGAGTAAATTACCAATCTTGTGCATCATTCTGAATATTATCCCTGAATATTCTGGTGGGTGTGTCCTACAAACAAGGACATTCCACCATAAAAATACTTTTGTTCCTTTTGAGTCATAAGTTTTATATGAGATAACAGAAAAGCCCACATTCCTCCATCAAATGTTGTATTTGTCCATTTACTTATATCCACATGGACTCATGGATACTTATTTTATTGAAAGGGTTATAATGTTACCCCCTCCCCAATTTTAACATTGATGCTCAGACTATCCCAGATTTGTTTAGTGGGAGCCCTTCAAGCTAACTCAGTGTCTTTCCACCTGCTCTTGTTATATTCTTTGAGCATTTCCTTACTTTCTGACCCAAAAATATGCTTCAGGCTCGTTTTGTGTCAATATCCCCTGGAATCGGCCGTTTCCCCAAAGGATAAAGGGACAGGGCACTTCTGAAAGCTGGTGGCTGACCCCTCACCTCTGAATGACCCCCTCGGACTCTGATTTCAATGCGGCTGTGCCTGGCCAATGGCAGAGGCGATGCTCTAGTGGTTGCCATGGAGACCGCTGGGCCGCAGAGCGGAAGGAGGCGGTGACGTCACTGCGGGAGCAAGTGCAGCGGCCACCTACTCCTCTTAGCCTGGCCCCAGGGCACTGAGGGCAGCTTTTGGGCCAGCGGCAAGGAAGCAGCCGCTCCGCCTGCCAGGCCCCCACCCACGACATCCCAGGGGCAACGGCCCCAGGGAGATCAGTCCCAGATCTGCTGAGACCTTTGGAGGCCACCGCCGAGAAAGGAGGCGCAGCATCTTCAACCCTTCCTGGCGCGGCCTTGCCCAGGAGCCCCGAGCCAGCTGGCAGACACCCTCCTCGGCGTCACGCTGTGTGAGCCCCTGGGAATTCCCACGAGGCCTCTCCGGGGGGATGACCACAGGGGACTGAACGCTGTGCAGCCCTGCAGGCGGCCCGGGGCATCCTTGACTGAGGGGTGCGGATTGGGCCTGTGAGGCCTCTCTCTCACGCCGCCTCCGGGAAGGGACCGTGGCATCCTGGATAATTTTTCGGATCCCCGAGGCAGCGGCGGCGGGCACCAGCGGGCGTACTGCTGCCTCAGAGAGCTGGGCAGGATGCTGTTCGGTGTCAAGGACATCGCTCTCTTGGAGCACGGGTGCAAGGCCCTCGAGGTGGACAGCTACAAGTCCCTGATGATCCTGGGTATCCCGGAGGACTGCAACCACGAGGAATTCGAAGAGATCATTAGGGTTCCCCTGAAACCTCTGGGCAAGTTCGAGGTTGCGGGGAAGGCCTTCCTGGAAGAGGACCGGTCCAAGGCGGCCATCATTAGGCTGATGGAAGACATCAATTACTCCGCGATCCCCAGGGAGATCAAGGGCAAGGGCGGCATGTGGAGGGTGGTCTACATGCCCCGGAAGCAGGACATTGAATTCCTGACCAAGCTGAACCTCTTCTTGCAGAGTGAAGGCAGGACGGTGGAGGACGTGGCCCGGGTCCTGAGGCAGGAGCTGTGCCCGGCGGCGACGGGCCCCGGAGAGCTGCCTGCCAGAAAGTGCTGCGCGCCTGGGCCGGGGGAGAAGCCGGGGGCCGGGGCCACTGCCAGGCTGGACGGCGCGCCGCCTCTGGACTTGGCGGAGAAGGACAGGAAGGCCGGAGAGGGCAAGAGGGGCAAGCGGAAGCAAAAGAAAAACCGCCGGCGGCACCACGCCTCTGACAAGAAGCTGTGAGGTGACGGGCAGGCCTGGGGGCAGAGGAGTGGGTGTGAGCGACGACTGTTGGGGGGGGGGGGGGGTGCCATCTGACTAAGTTTGGGGAATGCGAGTGAGCGTGGATCATGGGCGTGAGCATGGGCGTTACACTCAAGCGAGTGGGGAACTTGGAGTGCACATGGGCGTCATCCGAGCGAGCATGGCGACATCGACTAGTGCGAGTGAGGATGGCATTTTTATCTGCGTTACCTTGTGGGTTCCATCGGAGGGGGCGTGGTTAACACCCAGTGGAGGGCAGGCCGTTCGATCATCCGTCCTGCACACATTTATTGCACACCTACTATGTCCCAGGCACTGTTGTAGGAGCCGGGGATACGGAAGGGAACGAGTCCTGCCTTCGTCGCACGCAGAGCTAGTGGGTGGTAACGTTGGAGTTCCTTGGACTCGTCGGAGGGGGCCGGGTCCCATTTGAGTTGGTGCAGGTAATGTTTGGTTGAGTATGAGCCATTCATTCACTCATTCAACAAACACTTCCTGAGTGTCCACAGTGTACCTGGCACTGTTCCAGGCACCGGAGATACAGCAGGGAGCAAAACGGACCCGAACCTTGCCCCCACGGCTCTTGTGTTAATATCTGAGTAGGCGCAGGTAGCATCTGCGTCGCTCGAACACATGAGCGCACGTGGGTGCTGTTTGAGCGCGTAGGAAGCACCTGAGCACGCTTAATATATGAGCTCGAGTGAGTAATGTTTGAATAGTTGTGGCACTAACACCTGAGCACGTGGGTGCGTATTCCTTGAGTGAGTGAAGGTAACTTCTGAGTGAGGAAGGATCTCAGAAATCCTCCAACGACGTCGAACGACCCGGAGACTCGGCGAGACTCGCAGTCGGAGCCAAGCAGCGCGTCGGACTGGCGCCCTCCCCTGCACACCCAACGGCTGCAGGTGTTTGCCGGGAAATGGAAGGAGGGAGACCCGGCCAGGGAGACCCGGCCAGGGAGACCAAGGGTTTGCAGAAGGTCTTTTAATAGAGCTGAGGAAGAGCCAAGCAGGAAGAACGCGGCAGGGTGCTGGGCGCGGGAGAAAGGCCGCTGTCTGCTTGGCCGCCCGCGGCGTGCGGTCGACAGCCCCTGCTGCCGGGTGTGCCTTGTCGGGGAGGGGGCGCGGAACCCCTCCCTCTGGCTTTGGGTCTGGCTGGAAACCCTGCCATTGCAATGTCTAGAGTCGTTTTGTGTCTTTTAAAAGGAAGCATTTTAGATGTACCTCTGGCACAGACTTGTCCGGAGTGGGCCACCTGTTTTGCACATGAGAAGCAGAAACCATGCCTGACAAGGTGAGCTGCGCTCTCGCCATGTCTGAGGACTTCGCTGCTCTGTGTGTGACTCTAAAAAGCTGTCGCCGCTCTCTACAGGCTGGGTGTCCCTGGCAGGGATGGGCAGCGGCCGTGGAGGCCGGCGGGCGGGGGGTGGAGGAGGGTGGGCACTTCTGCTCTGGGAGGTGCCTGAGATGAGGGTAGGGGTCTCCCCAAATTAAAACCCAGAAGCTCTGACTGAGGGGGGCACATTCCACTCTAAGGAACAAAAGGCAAGACTTCCAGGGAGTGGCCCCCAAAGAGGTAAATAATTAGGTTACCTTCAAGAGTTATCCATTAACAACATTAACGCTGAGTCTCCAAGTCCCCTGTGATGATAAAGAACAAAAAAGAAAAGAAAAAAAATCAATTCAGGTTAAATCCAAATGCCTGTGGATAGACAGAGCTCTTGTTCGGGGCCTCTTACCTGTGAATTTGCAACCTTCATTAGTTCAGGGATCTGCAAAAGTTTGAACTGATTTTCTTTTCAAAAATGTAATTTCTGCACGCACGTTCAGTTGCTTACCTATCGAATTGTAACACTGGAGACCCCCAGTGCATCCCTGTGGTGGCCACTCATGTCTGTGAATTGCCTCTTATTTCTGAGAGGCTACCCTACTCCCCCCCACCCCCGGCAGAGCCAATCGGTGGGGGTCTCATCCTACGCCCCCACCTTGGCAGCCAGGGTGCAGGAAGGGACCACCCTCAGAGAGTCAGGAACTCCTGTCTCTCTGGCATTTCCAGCAGGGGTCAAGACACAGAAGGAATTTTTAGAGTTCACTTGTGTCGAAATAACCTAAAACCCAGAAGACTCTGATTTTTGTCTGGTCCCCAAGCTGCCTCTCTACCCTCAAGCGTCCATATCCTTTTCTTTTGTACAATGGTTGGGATAGAGCTTCTCCTGACCTCCCCACACGTATATTTGAATTTCTTGTGAGTGCATCCCTCGTGTAGAAGTTGATAGCTCGCTATTGATCTTTTTATGTTTTGTAAATTTCTGGCCTGGCCACTCCCACTCATGGACTATTCCTAACATTCTCTAATGTTCATGGTTTCCTCAGAATTTGAACTTGAATAACTGCAACACAACCTCAGGCATACTTGTTCACCGCATGCTGTTCTTCCATCAGGGCACCATCATTGTATAGTGACGAGGGCCAGCGTGGTATTTCCTACTGTCACATTGCACTGCTAAGACTGTATTCGTGCTTATCGTGGGTTTTGGGTGCTTCCCATACACAATGTGAGTGGGCTCAATGTTACCCATAAAACCCAAGTCTCCTACCACTTCTCTCTGGAGTTTTTCTGGACCAGTTGAAGAGTTTCCTGAAATTGCAATGCAAGCTATTATGCAAAACTGGTACCATTTGAAGCTACTTATCTGTGTGAATCAAGACATAGCTGGCATAACAGATCCGAAACAAAAATTCCCAAGCACATTGTACGTGCTGGCTGAGGGAAGGCTGCAGCTGGCCTTTGTAAACCCCCCGACTTCAAAAGCGGGTTCAGTGAAAACTCTTCATTGTTCTTTGTGATTGATGCTGTGTTGTACCAACATAAAATAAATGTATGCTAATGCAATTAATCTGCTCTTTGATATGTTGGGGGAACTGTGTTAAATTTAATTTAGAAACACAATCTGGCTGCTAAGAAACATTCTGGAAACCACTTCCATGGGTCTCATTATTTTAAAAAAGGGTGTTATCAGATCTCATGGCCAAGAGAACGCAAAAGACTCTATTCCACGGGCTTCCAGTGTCTGGTAGGAAAAGGGAAGCAAATTTATCTGGAATGAAAACAGTAACAGCTTTCCTGTGTTCCAGGCAGCATGCAAAGCCCTCCATAGTCATTAATTCATTAGATCTTCCTAACTCTCCAGATGTGGCACTGTGGGTCCACACCTCCTTATTCAAAATCCTTGGGCCAGATGTGGTTCAGAATTCTGGATTTTGGCAAAATGATAGCGTGACTGTGTCTTATATTGTGTAAGGGAGATTTGGGCAGCTCCCATAATCAAACTCATTAGTATTCTGCAGGGAACTGTGGGATATGAGCGTTCAGTGAGATAAGACTATACACAGCCTCACACCGGTGTACATCATGCCTCCTCATGTTTGTTTATTTATTTGGGGGAGTTTTGGTGCCAAGCTTTCGCCTTTCTGGCTTCCAGAGGAGGAGATAAGAGGTTAGGAACCGAAACTATTATCATGATCATCATCTCATTCTATGGACGAGAAAAGTGACACTCTGGGAGGTTCAGTGACTTGCCTAAGGCCACACAGGAGAGCTCTAGGGGGATCAAACCTAGGTCGTTCTGATCACAGTCTGTGCTCCTGAAACAAGGCTAAGTCTCTCAGGGGCTGGGGAGGAGCCGCGGCATGGCTCTCAGGGAAGCCGCTGGGCAGAAATTCTTCAGGATTCTCGAAGAAACAAACGAGATAGGCGAGGCGGCTCACTGAGGGCTCGCTCAAGGCTGGAGCGCAGCCCTGACTGGCGTAGCTCAGTGGATTGGGCGTCCTCCTGCAAACAGACAGGCTGCTGGTTCTGCTCCCAGTCCGGGTTGGAGGCCAGGTCCTGGCTGGGGGGGGGGGGGTGTGGGGGTGGGGGGGTGGGGGGTGGGGTGTGGGGGGGGCAACCTATCTCTCCTGCCCCTATCTCTCCCGCCCGATATTTCTCTCCCTCTCTTCCTCCCTCCCTTCCTCCTCTCTAAAAATAAACAAGTAAAATCTTTTTTTTAAAGCTGAAATGCATGCTCTAGCTCTGACAGAGGCTTAGACCAGAAGATATCAAGTAATTATAATGCTTATTGAATATTTAATATGCAGCAGGCACTATTCTAAGCATTTTACATAAAATTAATTTCATCATCACAATGACACTCAACACTAACGGGCAGATAGAAAGGAAACCCAGTCTCCAGGTTTGGAGACTGAGAGTCACACAACGTGTGGACAGACCCAGGATTTGAACCAGGCTTGCATCTGCATGCATAACCACCAGACAGCGCTGTCCTTTTAATAACCATGACTTACATCTTCTGAGTGGCCACATTCCCAGGTGCTGTGTCAACACTTCAGTTACATTCTCTCCTTGGCTGCTGTTAAGTGTGGGATCCTGGGTCCAGTGACTGTTTTCCATTGACAAAGAACACATGAGTCTGGCTTTATAGCTCAGATTCCTGAACTTGACAGACGTGTGCCCAGCTCGCTCAGGAGGTAGTGTGTTCTCTGTGCACCGATACAAAGGCTGCTGCGAAACTCGGGATGCCAGAGGCAAGCTGGTGAACGCAGCAAGTAACGCCCCTCGGGAGACACCGCCCAACCCGAGCCCTGGCACCAACAGGGCATTGATAAAGGGGGTGCCAGGCTGCTTCCTGTTCTAATATTTGTTGAGGACCTACTATGTGCTGACAACTAACTCACTGGTATCCGGTTCAGAGGCGTGGATAATTTATGTCCTGTTCATTGTAGACAGCAATCTGATTTCTGGGCATTTAAGACGGAGGACAAATCTCGTGATTGTGCCAAAGTTACAAGTGTCACCTCAGAGAGATTGGGGTGTCCCACCAATCTTTATCTTCCCACAAACCTGCCACAGGCAACTGTGCAAAAAGGAGGCATAAGAGTGTGGGGTTGCCCTGGCCTGGTAGCTCAGTTGGTTAGAGTGTCCTCTGATATGCAAAGGTTGTAGGTTCGATCCCTGGTCAGGGCACATACAAGAATTGACTGAAGTGGAACAGCAACCCCCCCCCCCACTTTTCTCTCTTTCTCTCTTTCTAAGCCAATAAATAAAAATTGAAACAAAAAGTGGAGGTTAAAATTGGAGGACCCTGTGATTCAACGCTCAGCTTTGCCACTTCCTAGCGGTGTGGCCTTCTTTGGACTCGGTATTCTCATCTGGAAAATGGGAATGACACTTTCTTAGGAGGGGTTAAAAGGATTAAAAGAGAAAATGCCAGGGCCAGGGACAAAGTGGGTGGTCAGTGAAAGTGAGTATTACTATGCCTCTGCCTTTCTGGCAGACACAAAGACAGGAGCTGTCACGAAGAAAAGAAAACCAAGATAGAAGACCAAGATACAGATACAGAAAACCAAGATACGGAAGACCAAGACAGGCTAGTAAGTGAAAAAAGTAAGTTTTATAGTAAGAGATCTAATGCAATCCATTCATTCACTCATTCATTAAATGTTTTGAGCACCTACCAGGACTGTTATAGAGGCCAGGGATTCAGTAGTGAACAAACCAGACAAATATCTGTCTTCGTGTGGCTGATGGTCTAATAGGGTGAGACAACAAATAAATATATAAGAAAACAGGGAGTGGTAAGTGCTATGGTGAAAATAATTTAGGATAATGTGAAAAGGCACTATGGGGTAAATCCTAAAATTACACAGATATGAAAGTAAGCTTTTTTTCTTTTCCCCTGGAAAAGTACAGATATTTTACTGTGGTTGATTTTGAGGGATAGAGGCCAGAGGCTTGCAGGCAAGGGGGGCTTGTATCTCATTTTACACTTTTCTGCAATTTCAGCATTTTCTTACTGTGTGTGTGACTTTTAATATGACTAATTTTTAAAAAATGGCAACCAAGTGAGGCTGAGGAGAGAGATCTGGGCCACGTTTTGTTTCCTTCCCCCGTTCTTTTCAACAAATAAAAAAGCGGAAGCTATAATTATCCATTTTTCTGGCGCGGCTGGAGGAGGACCTTGCCTGTCAGAGATCTGGGCAATTTAAAACACCCCAGTGGGACTGCTCAGGGCTTAGCAAGTTTTGTAAGGATGTCGAACATTCGAGATTTTCATTTCTAGGACAATCCTCCCCTGGTTCCACTAAAACACCAAAAAAAAACAAAACAAAAAAAAAAAAAAAAAACACACCAAATGTCTCATCTGCGAAGTTACTGTCTAGACTTCTCAGATTTGGATTCTTATGCCATTATTCCTCCAACAGGGGGGTCCGAGGGGTTTTTCCGCTTAGGGCTTCTACGAAGCAGCGGCTCAAGGATGATGATTTAGGCATCAGACCTCAGGAAGGGGTGCGGGGCGGAGAGGAGGCGCTGCCCCGCCCTCGCCCGGCGCCAGCTCCTCAAGCTCAGAGAGAACTCGCCCTAGGGAACGCGTCTCCTCGTTGCCATGGATACCACTGGGCGGCGGGGCGAGAAACTGCGCGAGAAGGGGGCGCAGCGGAGAGGTCGCGCTAGGGCCCTGAGCAGAGGCTGGGATGGGGCTGGTGAGGAAGAGGAGGAGTGGGGGAAGAGAAGGGAGAGGGGGGAGGAGGGAGGGAGGGGAGGAGGGAGAAGGAGAAAATCCAGCGAAGCCTAACGACCCAGCTGTGCAAAAGGGAAAACAACTGGAATGAGCCAACAATTGTGCGAAGGCCTCGCCGAGACTCTGACCTTCCCCCAACCCCCGAGCGTCTTTCTTTCTTCCTTTTTTCCCTGCTCTCCCGTCCTTCCTTTAATCTCTCCTTCCCCTCTTTCTCTAAACATCTGCCTGGTTCCTTCAGGTGTTAAATAAAATCGTACGTTGTGAGTTAAATAAAATCACACGCATTGATTTTTATATCGTGTAGTAAAGTCATTCTTGTACAGCGTGGGGTGTTTTTTTTTCCTGCTGTTGTTGGAATTTCATTATAATTGCTTTCTTTTGTAATCCCATAGATGCAGTTCTGTGCACTGAAACGCTTTATCCTGGAAAGGGTCGGTGGCCTGGAAAGGGTTAAGGATGCCCGGCCACGGAGGGGGAAGGGCAGCGGGAAAGAGTCGAAGCCGGTGAAAGCTGAGCTTTCTGGGCGGCAGGAACAGCGAAAGCAAAGGCCCCGAGGCTGGGGGCGAGCGCAGCGGTGCAGAGCAGGCAGGCGTGGCTGGCGTGGCGGAAAGAGGAGAAACGAGAGGGAAGTGGGGGAGACTTAATACGGCTTTGTCGGCGATGGCGACGACTTTGATTTTGCTCTGCCTGAGATGAAGACTTTAGAAAGACTAGAGACAGATCTGGCTTAAGTTTTTAAAAGATCCCTCCAGCTGCTCGAGTGGGGATGGCTTGCAGGCAGCAAAGGTGGAAGAGGCGTTTTCGTGGATCCAGGCGACCGATGAGCATCCGCTGCGTCCCCTGAGCCTGCCTGGATGGTGACCCCGGTGCTTCCCTTCACTTAAAGCCGCGCAACTTCAGGCCCGCCTCAGTCTCCCCGTTTGTAAGAGCACAGCGCTGAGGACTCACAACCCCAGGCCTATTCAACACATCTCAGAAAGAAAACCCTCCGTACGAGTTTGCTGTTATTGTTACTAATGCCGTTGCTGTTGTGCGTAGTGTTGCTGAGCTGGCTCCCTCAGCCTTACCTGGGAAATTCCTGGCCAGCACGTCCCAGGTATTCTGACCCACCCACTATGTGTGTGGCCGAGTCTGAGAACCTTTGGTTTAATTTTTAAATTAACATTTTTGATTGCCAAAAATCCAAGCCATCCAAAAGGATATGAAGTACCTGCCTCTGCCACCTCTGTGGGTCCCGAGGCCCCCTCCCCCGAAACAGCCATTGTTGGCAGCGCTTGTCTGTGCACACACCTCGGTGCTCCCGCTCTCCCGCGCGCGCGTGCGCGCTCTCTCTCTCTCTCTCTCTCTCTCTCTCTCTCTCACACACACACACACACACACACACACACACACGTCAGACTGTTTCGGATTCAAACCATCAATTCTTGGCCGTGTAATGCCGAGCAAGTGGTTTTATTTCTTTGGCTATAAAATGGGAATGATCGTCCTGTCGAGGCACACGTCTCAGAGTGCCGTGGGGAGGACTTCGCAGGAAGCGCTTACAGTGGTGCCTCATACTTAGGAAGTGCTCCATAAAACTTAACCTTTCTTCATAGCTGCTCAGTATTTCACTGTAAGACTACGTCCTAAAATTGAGTCAGTCCCTACTAATGAGCAATTAGGCTCGTTCATTCACTTCATTCAGAAATATTTATTGAGCACTTACTGCGTGCCAAGCCCACGGTGGGGGCTGGGCTGGTGCAATAAGACCCTGGGACCGCTTTCTCCCACGTCTGGGCAGACAGGAGGGAATTGCTGGTACCAGAAGTCGTGTCACTTGAAAATGATAATATGCAGTGTCAGTGGCTCCCCAAGGACGGTCCCGCCAGCACACCCACCTCCGCGGCTTGGCTGGAACCCGCGCCTGTAGGATGGCAGGTTTGGAAACTGCTGCCTCTCTCGGGGAAGGTGCTGACGTGAGCCGCCGCGCGCGTTCTGCCTGGAAGGGGTCGCCCCGCGGGGTGCGGCCACCCCCACCCCGTGCGGGAGGGGAGTGGGGCACCCCGAAGAGAGTGGACAGCCCCCTTGTCAGTCTTCCCGTGTCAAGGAGTGTAAGACGAGAAGGGGGAAGGTGGGCCTCATCATGGGGGAGGGCGAGGAGGAACTTCCTGCCCCCGAGCTCCGAGGCTCGGCGCGCGCGGGCTGGGAAGCAGGAGGAGCGTCAGGGTCTGCCTGGACCGGGGTGGCGGCCTGCCGAGGGGCGGGAGACCCTCCCCGGGGCTGGGCTGCCTCCTCCGGGCGCCCCGGCCATATTGAATAGCCACGGCTGAGCGGTCTTTGTCTGCGAAGTCCTCTCTCAAGTTCCAGGCGCCTCCCTGGTGCCCGGGGCAGGAAGAATTACTTGAAGTCCGTGCGCCCCAACTTGGAGCCGGGACACCACGTTTTCAGCTTGCCGTGGGCTTTGAACCTCAAGATCGACTTCACCCCGGCTCACGTGAGCATCCTGAAAATCGATTCCCACCCATCGCTGCGGGTGGGGAGAGCCAGCCTCGGTCCAGACGCAACTTGTTGCAGGCGGAGAAATTGGGAGGTGTGAGCTCACCCCTGCTGGGGAGGCGAGACTCTCCGGGCAGCGCTGCTGGGACGCCCCCCTACTCTCACCCCCATACTTGGGGCTTCTTGCAGTTCGGGCTCCTTGGCCCCCACCCCAGATTTCACCCTGGAGATCTTAAAGACCCTCGAGAAAAGCGACGTGCGGGGCTGGTTCCCCTGGGGCTTCCTCCTGTCCCCTGACTGCCTGATCCTCTGGAGCCTTCCCGACGTCTGCAAAGATGTGGATTTGGACGTCCTCGTGGAAGCCTTGAAGCCCGTGGGGACCTTTAAGAAGATCGGCAAGGTGTTCCGCAGGGAGGAGGACTCCACCGTGGGCAATGCTGCAGATTGGGGAGGGTGCAGACTATGTGCTCATCCCCCGCGAGGTCAGGCTGGTGGGGGGCGTCTGGAGGGTCATCTCCAAGCCTGCCACCAAGGAGGTGGAATTTCGAGAGTGGCTGGCCCAGTTCTTGGAGGAAGAAGGTCGCACCCTGTAGGATGTTGCCCGCATCATTGAGAAGAGCACCCCGCACCAGCACCAGCACCCCCAAAAGCTCAAGGAGCCCCGGGTGAGGAGGAGATGGTGACCCCTCCTCCCTGGCTGGTTGTGGGCACCTATGACAGCAGCAACGCCAGAGAGAGCGAGTTCAGCGACTTTGAGATGGCCCGAGAGACGGGTGGCAGGAGCCACAAAGGCACCGCGCGTGGCAGAAAGGTGCACAAAATGCCCGTCAGTTACCTGGACAGCAAATTCCTGGGGAGCGACCTGGAGAGCGAGGAGGAGGAGGAAGTGGTGGAGGCCTTCCTCCCCCGCGGGGAGAAGAAGCCAGGCGCTGCGCCCGGGCGCCGCTGCCTGGACCTGCCGGAGCCCACGTTTGAAGACAACCCGGGGCCCCAGCCGTCCAAAGCGGACAGGTGGCGAGAGTTTGTCAGCCAGATGTCCTGGGGGAAGCTGAAGCGGACGGTGAAGGGTTGGGGGCCCAGGTCCAGCCAGGGAGTGGGCGAGGTCCAGCAGGACGCTGCCAGGGTGGAGGGGGAGGGGTGCCAGGTAGCGCCAGTCAGGGGGCTCACTTGGGGAACTCCGGAGGTGGGCTGGTGCTTGAGCCCCCCACAAGGCGATGGAGGTCCAAAGTCAACTGGGCCTCCTTTAGGCTGCGCCAGAGGGAGGAAACAGCATCCACAGCTGGGGGGTGGGGGGCGGAGGCTGCAAATGATCAGAGGGTGGAGGCTATAGCTCATCAAAGGGTAGGGGCTATAGCTGACCGGAGGGCAGGCGCTGTGCATAATCAGAGGTCAGAGGCTGGAGAGGACCAGAGGGCGGAGGCCATAGCTGAGCAGGGAGCAGAGGCTGTGGGTAATCAGAGGCTGGAGGCCCTCGTCTTCCAGGCAGCAGAGGCAGCATCCAATGGGGCTGAGGCCAGGGCTGTCCAGGAAACCGAAGCCTTGGCTGCCCAGGGGAGCCCAGGAGCAGCCCCAGGAGCCAGGGCCCAGAAACAGGTCAAGACAGTGAGGTTCCAGACTCCCGGGCGCTTTTCGTGGTTTTGCCAGTGCTGGAGAGCCTTCTGGCACCCTCCCCGGTTGCCTGCCCTGCCTGAGAGAGGCCCGGGGCAGGCGAGGCCAGGAGCCTTTGGGTGCTGAGAGCGGAGGCCCGAGAGGAGGTGGAGCAGGGAGAGCAAGAGGACCTGCTGTGTGGTGTGGCGGAGGCCTTGCCTCAGAGCACCCTGCCACCTGCCTCCTTATTGGCCACTCAGGGCATGTTCCCCGCCCCCTTCTGCACTTGGACCCGGAAGCTCTTTCTGCCTCCACACGTGACAATGGAGGTAGAGGGCCAGGCAGCACCCTGCACACCTCCACCTAACACTTCTCTTTCTTTTCTTGTTAAATTTTTCTTCCACGCATTGACTTTTTAAATACAGGCTCTTTATGGTAACCCCAGGAATGTAAAGAAAGAAACCCTGTACAATGGGGTTGCATTAACTTCCTCAAATGCAACTCTAGGTGTTCCGCTTGAAACCCGGAGCCAGGCCTGGGAGAAATGCCTTGCTCATCCCCCTTTCCCCTGCACATTGGCAGCCTCCTGGAACTTACAATATGTAAATGAAAATGTGTACAGACTTACTTCTTGGCGTTGGACTTGGCAGCTGAAGAATGCTCCAGGGTGATTTTGTCACTCACGTGTGTCCCCTCTGCCTCCCATGATGGTGACCTGCGGTTGTGTCACTCCAATTGCCATGCCCACACTCCTGGGTTCTGCAGGTTCCAAGAGTCCAGCACCTGCCGTTTATACACTTCACACACTTAACAAGGGGACAGAAGCCTCATCTGGGAACTGTGTCCACGTGCAGATTCCGGGGCCCTTCGTGCCAGAGCTCTGGGTTGGGCAGTGCTGGCTGTGTGGCCCAGGAGTCTACTTTCATCAAGCTCCACGAACATCTCCTGGGACAGCTTGGCCATTGGACAAGTCCTTGCAATAGAAACAGGCCAAAACGGGGGTGGGGAGGTGGGGTGGGGCAGCTGTCACGTGGTAGTGTGCAGTGCGCTGTGATTACAATGGAGAGAGAGCGGGTTGCAGGAGGACATCTTTCTGTATTGTCTGTGTCCCCCGCACCACGAATCCCACCAGAGAAAAATAGACAGCAAGCACCATACCCGAGCTTTGCTGAAGGCAGAAGAGAAGGAAATTCATGGAGGAGGGGATCTGAAGCCCAGCTCTATCCTCTTGACTCTGGCTGCTGCCCAGCCTGAGTTTCTTAGTTTTTTTCCTTGGAACTAAAGAATGATATGGTTTCTCTTGCCCTGCCCCACCCCCAGAAGTGGTCACGTGGGTGCCTCTTGCTGCTGGGCTGAGAGCCCCTTTGTAGGGGTGTAGTTCACAGCTCATAGCCTGGCAAGAAAGAGCCTCCACTGGGCTTTGAGCTCCACTGGGAAGGACGGTGGCGGGGGGTTGGGGGGGACAGTAGGGGAATAACTAAACTGGGCGGAGTTGTCCCTGAGGTGGCCAGCGAGCACTCTGGTGCCCGGCTGGTGGTGGCAGTGGGGGCTGGCTGCGGCTACTGCTCCTCTCTGGAATAGCAGCCTGTGGCCTCCTTACAAGGCTGGGGATGGAGGGCCTGGCCTGTTGGGGATGCTGGAAGTGAAAGGAGCTGGGAGCAGGGACGGTGAGAGACACCGGGAGAGGCTCAGAGACTAGGCAAACCTGTTCCCCTCTGTCTCCTCTGCTGATTTTCAGTTTGTCCCTCCTGTGCCCAGCATTCCCAGCATGAGCATGAGCCAGGCATAGGAGAGGGAAGGACCCTTGAGGTACCTTGAGATGGTACCAAGGCTTTCAGTGTTATTTTCAACCCAAGGGGGTTTCAAATGGGGCCAGTGGAACCTCAGCCCCCAAATGCAGCCTGTGGGTGCCTCCTGGTGTGGTTTCAAACGTACTGGGATTTTCGGGCAGGAAGTCCCCAGAAAACTCCCAACTACCCACACACAACTCCGGAGTGGTGTATGAAGGCCGCACCAGCTGCGGCGCCCACAGTGCCCACCAGAGGGCGCTCCACGAGTTTGTTTGTTTTTTTGTTTTGTGTTTTGTGTTTTTTTGGTCTCCAAACCAGCCTTTGAAAGTAACCGAAGAGACAGCGGAACACAGACATAGAGATCCCACGGCGCCACAGGCAGGGACTTTCTGGATCCCCCTTTCCAAGTCCCATGGCGGAGTGACAGGAAGAGAGGAAACCAGTAGGCAGACGGAGTGAGGAGGGATGTGGAGTCAGGCTATCCATCTCACCTCCAGCACCTCCTCTTGCAAGCTACGCGACCTTGGGCTGGTTACTTAACTTCTCTGTGCCTCCGCTTGCTCATCCGGAAGAGTGAGCATCACACACGTTTCCCCCTGGGATTGCTGACAGGACTGAGGACGGCCTGATGTGTTAGAGCTCAGCTCAGCCCTGGGGGACCTCATCTCGTCTTATTCTTGTTCCATTAGTAAATCAGGGAGACAGCTTGGATTGGGACTCCCAGGGCAGGGGTTTCCAATCCTGGGTGCTGTGTGGAATGACCTGGGAGCTTTCAAACACCCATGCCCAGCCTGCCCTCTCAGGTTCTCATGGAACTGGTCCGGGGTATGGCTGGGGCACCGAGCGCCTTCATCCTTCCGCGGTGATTCCAGTGTGCACCCGGCACTGAGAACCGCGACCCTGGTCAGCTCTAGCCGTGCAGCAGAATCACGTGAAGGAACGTTTAAAACACAAATTGCTGGATCCCAACCCCAAGTGATTTCGTGTTTACGGTGGACCCAATAACATGCATTTCTATCAAGTCCCCAGGTCATGTTAAGGCTGCTGATTCCAGGATCTCACTTGAAGGAGAGTTGCCCTCCAGGAATGTCCAGTTTTCCCAGCCTGGCGTTGAAGGCCAGGTGGAGCCTCTGGCTCTGGGCCATTCATTGGCGAATTCATTCATGTACCGTGCGGTCCGCAGTGCTCTCGGGTGGGCGTCGTGGGCGCCACCGCTGGCGCGCGCGCTGTCTCCCCGCCTCCGGAGTGGTGGGCAGTGGAGAGGAGGCGTCGTTCACTGTCCCCGGACCCCCTCATCTTCCCTCTCAGTAGTTCCAGGACCTAGCAACACTCGGGACTCGAGCGGGTGGAGAGGCCGGGACAGGCTCAGCCTGGGAGTGGGGGGAGCTTGGGTAAGACGTGGGGTTCCGAGCCAAGGAACCCCCGCCTCTTGCTCTGGAGCAGTTACGCGGGTTTGCGAGGGAGCCCTGGAGCAGGACAGGGACTGAGCGCCCTTCCTTGCCTCTCTGAGCCTCAGTTTCCTTATCTGGAAAAGGGGTGAAAACCTGCCTTCACCCTATTTTCTCGAACCTACTCTAAGCGCAGAATCCAAGAGAGACACACGCCCCAAATCTGTTTACCCCGAAAACTCCACAGAGACGCAAGCCCAGCACGGGAGCCTGGCCCTGGAGGGGTCAGTGAAGACACGTGACTAACCCCCAGCCTCGCGGCCCTGGCTCCGGGCTTTTGTACCGGCCGTTCCTGCCCCTGGATGTGCTTTCCTTTGGTGTCTGCTGCCTCGCTCCTCACCTAATGTCACCTTCTCAGTGAGGGCTCCCCCGCAAAGCCCTAAACAGGCGATGACTGCAAGCCCTCCGGCCCCACGCCCTCAGGCCCCCGCCCGCGGGCTTGTTCTCCCCGCGGTCACTGCGGGCTAAGGCAGGACCGTGCGCTTCTCTCCGAGCCTCGGTGCCTGCTCTCCGCCCCTCCCCCCGCCCACGTCCCTCCGCGACGGGCCGCCTGTGCCCGTCCTGCTTCCCGCTGCAGCCCAGCGCCCAGCGCCGCGCCTGGACGCATGTCCTGTAGGGCTCGCACGGGTCCCTCGGCCTCCCCTCGGGACACTGCCTTCTTCTCCCACCGGACGCGACCGCGCTCCACTCCGTCCTCCTGCGCGGCCTCGGCACGTCGGGGCCCCGCGGGGACACACCCGCCGCTGAAGGGCCCTGGGGCTGCTCGCGCCGCGCTTGCCGGCGGGACCTCCGGGCCTTTACGCGGCTGCTCCTGGGCCCCGAGGCGCCGCTCCGCGCGCCCCAGGCTCCCTCCCGCCGGGCCGGAGCGTCCCCGCACCTTCCTCGCCGGGCGCAGCTGGGTCGCGTTCGCCGAGCCCGCGCGGTCCCTGCGGCCCATCGGTCACTCGACAACTGCAAACAGCAGCCACCGGGTGCGGGCGCCGCGCTGGCGCCGGGGACGCGGCGGGCACGGGACAGGCCACACTCCGGGCCCGGCCGGGAGCGGCCCCGCCCGACTCCGCCGCCGCAAACCCCTCGCTCACCCACCGCAACGCCGCAGCGCCGGGTGCCCGTCGGCCTCAGCCACGTCCCGACTCCTCCGGCCGCTGCGCCGCAGGCCCAGGGCCCGGGCGGCGGCGGGCAGCGGGAGGCGGGGGCCGCTGTCCGAAGGCTGCTGGGCTGCGGCGGCGGCCGTGGCGGCGACGTGAGCCGGGGGCTCCCGGTCCCTCCTCAGGCCAGTCGGCTCTGTTTGTGGAGCGTCCGCGGCCCAGCGACCGGGCTCCGGGCAGCAGCGCCCCTGGGCCGCGAGCAGCTCGCTGCGTTTGTACTGTTTGGGCGACGCGACGGTCCCTTTTCTGCGCTTTGCCTGCCAAACCCGCGTCGGTTCCCTCTGTGAGCCCCCCACCCCGACAAACACGGCCAGTGCGCTGTTTAAAAATAACCAAGGGCACCGGGGGCAATCAGAGCTCTGAAAAACGGGGGGGGGGGGGGGGGCGACGTTTTTAACCGGGCGGTCAGGGAAGCCTCCTGGGAGGTGACGTTTGGAGACAGGCCCACGTGAAGTGAAGGACAGACCCCTGCCAATGTCCTGGGAAGGGCGCTCCAGGCAGCGGGAACAGCGAGTGCAAAGGCCCCGAGGCAGGAGTGCACCCCACGTGTTCCCTGACCAGCCAGGGCGCCGGGGCGGCTGCGACCACGGAGGGCGGTGGGCAGCGCCCAGGGCTAGAAGGGGCCAGAGCAGACAGGGCCGGGCGAGGGAACCTCCGGGTGAGGACAGTGTCCTGTATCTGCACTGGCCACACCTGGCTCTTGCGTACCTGTACGGCGGCTGGTACAACGAGAAAGAAAGAGAGAAAGAGAGAGAGAAAGAGAGAAAGAAAAGAAAGAAAGAAAGAAAGAAAGAAAGAAAGAAAGAAAGAAAGAAAGAAAGAAAGAAAGAAAGAAAGAAAGAAAGAGAGAGAGAGAGAGAAAGAAAGAAAGAAAGAAAAAAAGAAAAGGAAGGAAGGAAGGCAGGCAGGCAGGAAGGAAGGAAGGAAGGAAGGAAGGAAGGAAGGAAGGAAGGAAGGAAGGAAGGAAAGCATTTAACTGTAATTTGGATTACAGTTAAATTTAAATTGTCCCAACTGACCAGTGATATTGGACAGAGAAGATCTAACCAATTATAGGAAGCCATTAGAGGGTTCGGGGAAGGACGTGATTGGCTGGGACTTGACTTGTAGGTCAAAGTCACGGGTCACAAAGCCGGCCCAGGTTCCCGCAGACGGGGACCGGGCTCTACCTCTAGACCAGAAACTTCCAGGCGCGCACAGGGAGGGAAGGGCCCAGAGCGGCCGCGTTGGAGACAGTTCCCCAAGCGCGCCCTCTGCCGGCGGCTGGCAGAGGACACCGGGCGTCGGCTTGTCCGGCTCCACAGTGGGCACAACCATCTCTGCCCTCCGGACCCCAGCGTGAGCGTCCGCAGAGGGTTTAGCCTGGGGTGGATACTCGGTGACTCGGAAATGGCAGCAAAGAATTCACTGTTTTGTTTTTTTTCTCCTAAATTATTTATTTATAGAGAGGGGAGGAGAAGAGGGAGAAAGAGAAACATCAAACTGTGGTTGCATTTCCCACGTCCCCTCTTGAGGACTGGGACTGCAACTCAGGCACGTGCCTTGATGGGAACCAGCGATCCTTTAGTTCGCAGGCCGGCGCTCAATCCACTGAGCCACAGGAGCCAGGGCTGATGTTCACCATTATTAAGGCAAGAGGATTTCAATGGTGCCTGCAGGGCTCACTCCCCAAATTAGCCCGTGGATGCCTCTGGGGGTGTGGTTTCAGACTCAGCAGGATTTTCAAGGCGGTTGCCCCGAAAATCTGGGTTTTGACGCTACATCAGAGTTTATGTGGACCAGCCCAGCAGCCCCTTGCCTCACCTAAGTTACCTAAGGAGAACAAGGATGGGACGCAGTGGAGAGGGGAGAGCCTGCCTGGGCTCCCGGGAGGGAACTAGATGGGGACATTCTCGGTCCCCCGTCCTCATGGGAGAAGCAGGGAGAGATGCAGAAACGGGGCTGTGGAGGTACAGGTGTTTGGAGTGGAGCTGCCTAGGTTACTCCATTCTCCCCCCATCCTCCATGTGACCTTGGGCTGGTTATTTACCTCTGGGCATCTCCATTTATGCCCCTGAAAATGGGGGTCGTGTCTCTTAGTGCCAGGAAGATGAGAGAGGCTGTGACGCCTTGTGCTTAGGGCAGAGCCTGGTGTCCAGTGAGCTGGACCCATCCCTCCCTCTCAGCAAGGCCCCTAAGGAGTCTGATAAAGGTTACGAATCAGCTGTTGGTCCCTTCCAGAACATTCTCCCCACCTGACTGAGATGACGTGTGTGTGGCAGGGCGGGGTGAGGAATAGACCACTATGAGCACCAGGGCAGTGCGCCTTTTGCAGCGTGATGGCTCAGGCCCCTTCCGATCTGCTGCAGCTCCCCTACACCCTGCTTTCCCCCTGCCCCAGGGCTTTGGGGGCCCACAAATAAG